GGCTGTTCTTCTGTTCTGCTGTATGCTGTGCATTTCTTGCAGTATTGCACCTTTGGAACAAGGGCAGTCTAGATGCAAGAGTTTAAAAGACAATTGTGGTCAATCACGTTTTAGTAGCTTAGCACTCTGTCCCTCCTCAGCTGAGCTTCAGGAACCAACTGGAGGAACTCTGCTCTCATGTCCTGTGGTGAAATGATACCTATTAGCCTAAGCCACCGTCGTGTTCTCAAATTCTTCAACTGTTAACCTTACCCCAAGTTATCAGCTATCCTTAAGCATAGAAACGTGTTCATCCTATTCAAGCTCGTGTGAGCAGAGAACATATTTCCTAAGGCCAATATTTAAAAATGCTTTCACCTTTCAAAGAACCTGCAGAATTTGATGAAGTAAATTTTCTTTACACTTTTTTTTCCCCTTTCTTTTTTTTTTTTTTTTCTGTCTGTAAAACTGACGTTGGTTCTGCAGGTGATCTGGAGAGACACCAAATTTTGTTGGGACGTAAATGTAAGTCCAGAGTCAGTGGAGCATTTGTGAAAATACTTTCTGGAAAAAGTTGTACTGGCTGAAAAGGAGAAGCTTGCATTCAGCTGACATCACTGGAAGATGCACATACAAAGTGAAAGTACTTTGTGGCCTTTAGGCTTCTGTTCCTGTGGTACATGAGGTTTTATACTACACAGAAGATTGAACCCTTCACTTTTCTTGGTAATAGAGATTAAGTGAGTATCTCTGATCGATTCCTGTCTGCTCTCTCTGGAGTATCCCTCCATGACTTAAGAGAAGTGCTGTGCCAAGAAGACTATTTGGATTGAAACACTGTAATACAGGAGTGATTAACTGATGTAATTTTTAAAGAGATGACTCCAGTAATTCCTGCTTTTCTAGATCATAGAAATAACTTGAAGGAATATGTTCACCAAAGTGAAATTCTCTCTACCAGCGTTTGGTAATAGGTTTCTTACGCTTGTTTACTTCAAACACGATGTCTTTTTCTCTAAGCCAAACTGGAAATCAGATTTTCTTCTTATTTAAGTGTATCGGAAGTAACTGCTAATGTTGGTAGGGTTACAGTGATCTTAAGTGAATGTCACCAGTGGAAAATCAGGCCCAATGTTTTTTGTGTGTTTGGCCAGAGGAAGGAACATTTCCATTTTCCATTGCTGATTGAGTTCCCCTAAAATCTTATCTTGTATACAGGAACACTGAAGCTGTTTCAAGAATATATTCAACCTAGTTCCCTACCACACAGGAAAATCATGCCATCAAGTTCCCCATTTGAGTGTGTTAGGAGAAGCATATTTCCTGTCTCCTCCCTTTGGCTGCTTTGTCCTAGATTTGGAGTCTCTGGGATTCAAGCTGTCTGCCACTGTGTGTGAGGCCACGGGCATCTCTGTGCTGGAGAGAGCTGCTTCTCCTTGAATTCTGATCTTTGGGTGCTACTTTGAGGGCTGAGTTAGAAGGCTGGTGAATGACTTGCTTAGTCGTCTGGGTGAAACCAATAACGTGGATGGGCTGTATGAGGAGTTCTTCTTCATCCTGCCTAGACTAATCATGACTAGATATATCAGAAATCCCGCAGGTATTCAGTTCTGGGTCCTGTCTGCACGTATCCACAGCACTGGACTCCAGGAAGCTGGATTTGGCTGACTGGAGGATATGGGTTGCATTAAAAGGCTGTTCCTTCTGGCATATTAGGAGCAACTGCAGAATAAATACAACTTGCTTTCACGTTGTATTGCACAGGGTTTGTTCTCCTTTTGGTGCCTTTGGACTTGATGATCCTTATGAGTCCATTCCGTCTCAGGATATTCTGTGATTTCTTTGCAGATGACTTCTCTAATGCTGCTTTGTTTTGATCCCAAAGCCTTGATTTCTCAGTAGTCTCTGCTGTCTGTGTAGCAGTGGGTTCACCAACTTTCCTACTGGAAATTCAAGGAGTTTGGGAGAAATGAGTGATTCCCAAAACTGACAGCTCACTTCTCTGGCAGTTCCATGGGTTTGATCTGGCCCTGGTCTCACGGACAGCTTGGCAGAAGGTTAGGGAGGAAAGCAGCTCTGCTTTTATTGTGTTTCATGTGCCGTAGGCTGCTGATGTTAGGTGCTGAAAGGAAAAGTGTTATGAGAAGAAGGTTGTGGGTGAGGGAGAATCATTGCTATCAAGTGAACTACGGGGTAGGACGCTGACATCTTGGCACACAGGACAGGCTGAAGAGAAGGAATGACTGACAGAAATAAAATCCTCTTAGTCCAGGCAATGTCAACCTGTCATTGTGAGTTCAGTAGTTAAAGAACTGCAAGCCTACTGCTGCCTGCTTTGCAAAGGGCAGATCATGAATTACAAGGCATAGCAGAGTACTTAGGGCTTTGAGGTGCTGACAAGCTGATACCACCCAGAATAACTGCATGGTCGTGGCCCACATGAGATAGAGTTTTAAAAGCTGAAAAAAACAGTTAGCAGGCATGTCACCCTTGAAGACAGCATACAGCGTACATACTTAAAGCTAATACTGCCTTGCTTTCTGCCTCCACAGCAGCTGCATACATGTGTGAAGCCCAGGCACACCTGGTAATGGGGTAACTATGCTGTGTATAGCAAAGGACTGGAGAGTGATGCTACCAAGGCATATAGAACCCTCACAAGAGCTCATTTTGGGATGTGGAGGCAATATTGTGTGTCTGAGGAAGTGCAGGACTAAGGTAAGAGAATGCAGGAGCACAGTGATGAGGGCCAGTGAGGAGCCAGAAAGGATTTTACTGTATGTGGCTTGAGGAATGGGGCAAAGAGTGATAGATCAGCTTGGGAAGGTAGTGGAGTATCTAGTTGAGGTGGAGTAATTTTGAAGTGTATCCAGAGTTTGTGGTTGATCTTTGACCGTATTGGAAATGTTCTGGTATTCTTCAGCAGTACTTATAAGCATCTGGCAGTCTTGGTGTCAGACAATTGAATCAGTACCTAGAGCACTGACATTATGCCCCTCTTGTTGGCCATACACACCTGCAGATTTAATATTTTTCCTCTGGAGAATATGGCACTTTCCCGTCCTGTGGAAAAATGCCTCTCTTCTGCCATTCTCATGGAGATGTGTGGGGATGATATCACTTCCTAGCAAAGCACTGGTGAATCACTTTGTTGGTGTTCATGAATCACTTCTTTGCTACCATTTTCTGCACTGGTCTTAATATAATTTCCAAAAGCAAAAATCATCATTTCAGAGTCCTCTTACTTTTTGTTAAAGAGACAGTACTGAACTTATCTCACTGCCTGACTTACCAAACCAAGTTCCCACTGTGCTGCAGCTGAAGTTATTGCCACCCATCCAGTTCATTTCCTCCACCGCAGAGGCAGGCTTGCTCACCACAGAGTGAAGAGAGGGAACATATGTTTGTCTCAGAGGCTCAGGTGGCAAGTCTGATAATTTGGATTAAAGCTGTCCATTTCAATTGCTGGACATTTCACTGGACTGCTTGAATCCAAGGTACTCTTGCTCACTTTTATTGTTCTGCTATGGATCTGATCACCTCTGCACAGAAGCAGAAGCGCTCTGAATTGCCATGGGTTGGTGTGCAAATGTTCTTCTGCTAGACGCTTAGTCAAAAGCCTCCTATATTTTTTTAGCTACTAGGAAGTGTAACTGGTTGCTCAGATTCTCCATGAACTTTATGGTATAAAGTAGGCAGGAAGCTGGAGTAAGCAGCCTTGGTTTAAGGGATAATCAGGCTACAGGCTGTGTAGTTTCTAGTTGTGTTGAGGTAACATCAAGAGTCTTTGACATCCATCTTATGCATTGGCACAGGGCTTTTTTTTTCTGGGGGAAAAGGAGTGTGAATGGTGTGAACATGATTTCGCAAGGGTAAAGGCACTTGTGGTTTATTTTTGGCAAAGCCTGAGGCTGCTTAAGTAGTTGTTATGACACCATATAATCTTTTGGCAACCACAAGTTCAGGGAGCTGCACAGGCAGCTTGGAGGTGCCTTTGCCCATTACCTTGAGAATGAGGCAAGCATGTCTCAGTCACAAAGATCCAACCTGTTTCTCTGATCCAGCACAGCATTTGCCCTGGCAACTCTACTGCTGTCTTTGGAGGCTATTTCCTATTGTTTTGTCTTGACCGCTGTGCTTCACCATTTCTCTGTAATACACTACACACTGTAAGCAGGTATATGTAACACTTCCCAGAACAAATTTAAAGTGAGAACTCTTCCTTGGAGGTCAACATGCCATGTGGGACATGGCCCATGTGTGGGCAGCATCTGACAGATTCCTGCCACTGTCACCCAACTGGCTTGTCAGAAATGACAGCACCTGCCTGTGGATTACACTAACACAGCATTACCAGCCAAAATGGGAAGCATTAGCAGTGTTGTTTGCTTTGTGTGTTCATATTCCTGATCCTTCCTTGCTATGATGAATGCATTATAAATGTCTGCATGGATGTGTTAGGATGATGGTATTGGATACTCTTCACTTCTGATCAGCCTACATGTAATTATTGTAACATAAAAGCAGCTTAGAATACTGCTTGAGAGTTTTTCAGTTATCCATGATTCTATATGTATGTAGACAGATAAGGAGGTAACCTGTCTGAAAGATTTCTCATTACAGAGTTAGTGCCAAGGATCAGATCATTCTCGGGAACTCTGGGGTCTGTTTTCATATTTGCAACATGTCTATGTGCTGGAGAATTTTCAATTTTCTTTATCATTTGTGATGGATGAAATCACTTGAAATCTTTTTTTTTTTTTTTTCCTCCAAAAGGTTCTCTGGCTTTTTCTGCCCATCTTGCAGCTCTTAGCGTGCTTCGTGTGTGTTATTTGCGCTCGATAGCAGAATGCTATTTTGTGCCCAATAGGGATTGGCAAAATAGCCGTTCATTTACCCTCTCTCTAAGTTTGCCTTCAGTCCAAGCTGCTTAATTTTCCACATGGTCTGGTGTCAGCCTCCCATTGTAAATTATCTGCCCTCATGACCCACAACCTGATTTTTCTTACTCTTCTCAACAGAGCTACTGATGACTGAGTTTAAGAAGTCAAGCTAGTGCTGAGAGAATACCTGTGAGTATTTTGGTAGTGGTGTGATCTGTACTTGGCGTGTTTTGTAAGGCTGTTTGACTTCTTTCTGCTTTCAAATACATGACCTTGGGAATTGGTTGGTTTGAATTTAACTTTTTTTCTCATCTGCAGTCCCTGGAGAATTCTAATCGCAGTGCTGGCTTGTGGCTGTGCTGAACTAAGAAACAGCCGAGCTGAAATTTCCAGACTAAAAGATATGACTGCTTCTAGTAACCTTGGTACCTGTCTTTTGCTTTTTTTCAAATAATATCCAGTGATGTCCATGTCTTACTGCATTGTACGTGTTTAGTGTTTTTGAAAAATAGGCTCTTTCTTGAGTACCTATTAGAATTTATGAAAATAATGGGTCCTCTTCCATTCTAAGTGCACGTTTTTCTTCTTCCATATGTTTACATGTTTTTCTTCTTCTATATGTTTAGTATTGTAAATCAATCATTTCTTTCCATCAGTATGGGAAAACTTGAATAATGTACCATGTAATAGAAAAGGGAAGGAAACACTCAACAACCATGTACTCTGCCTGAAGGAGCTTTCAAAGTATGGCAAAATTAGCAAATATGAATTGTAGATCAAGAAATAAGGAGAAAAGGGAGCAAAGATACGGAAGCTAAATTAAGATGAGCTTGTTCAAAGAGGCAGGAAGAAGGATTTGGAGCAGCAGAGGATGAAGGATGCTTTGTAATAAAGACTCCATAATAAGGGTCAGTATTGCTGTCTGAACCTTCCCTGGTGCAACTTGAAGCCATTCCCTCTCATCCTATTGCTGTTACCTGGGAGAAGGGGCTGACCCCCACCTCACCACAGCCTCCTTTCAGGTAGTTGTAGAGAGCTACAAGGTCACCCTGAGCCTCCTCTTGGTTGGATTGAACAGTCCCAGTTCCTTCAGCCACTCCTCCAGACCCCTCACAGCTTTGTTACATTTCTTTAGTCACACTCCATGTCCTTGATGTCTTTCTTGCAATGAGGGACCCAAAACTGAACACGGTACTCGAGGTGTGGCCTCACCAGAGCTGAGTACAGAGGGACAATCATTTCCCTGCTCCTGCTGGCTGCACTATTTCTGATACAAGCCAGGATGCCATTGGCCTTCTTGGTCACCTGCTCACACCGCTGGCTCATGTTCAGCTGAGCACTGACCAATACTGCCGGGTCCATTTCCTCTACACAGTCTTCCAGCCCCAAACCTGTAGCACTGCCTGGGTTGCTGTGGCCAAAATGCAGGACCAAACAGATGTATTATCTTCCAAACCTGTCAGGAATGGCCATGCAAAGTGAATTTTGGTGGCTTTTGGGAAAGCAGTGCTGCATGTGCCATAGATATGACCAGTTAGCATTTTTCTCCAGCCAGGTGCTGGGACAGTATCTGCAGCTCTCTGTTTGATAAAATCTGGGGCATCTGAAGGGCAGACAGGTTATGCTGGTGCTTGTGTATCTGCTGGAGAAGGTGGAGGTGTGCCTCTGCTACATGGGGAAATACTGATGCATGCTGAAACTTCTATTACAAAGAACGCTGAATTGCCTTTAAAAGGTTATTCACAAAAGAGGAAAAACTAACAATGAACTGAGCAATTAGCTTGTCTTTTACTTTTCTAGGTACTCTTAACAGCTACACATTCCTCTACAATTTAAAATTAGTCTTGAAGACGTTGAAACATTAATTTGATATCTTTACACTCTTCCTGGCTGATTTAAGTTATCCTCCTGGTTTTTCTTCAAGTTAGTTGCCCTTTATTACTGTTACTGGTCAAATTAAGTTGTTATCTGTCAGAGATCGCAAACTGTCCACAGATCTGATCATATTTACGTATGTGTTTTCATTAATTGAAAGATGAAGATACATTGAAAAGTAAATGAACTTCGATAGCAGTTTGAGTGAGAAATCAAACCCAGGTTTTCAGCACATCAGTTTTCGATTAGATTTTAGTGATATACATCAGTCTATGGGTCATGTCTGCAGTTCTGCATGTATGTGTTTGTTCTTGTTCCGTATATGCCTTTTCCTTTCTCTTTCTGGTCATCATTTCAAAAACATCAGCAGAACCATGGCTGAGCATTTCTTCTGCGCTTCGGGATGCGCAAGAATAACATCTGCAGAAAGAGGCCTCAAGTTCCTCTTGGATGCATCCGGATCATTTTGTTAGGGAATCACTGAGCCTGTGATCAGTCTGAGTGCAGCTGATGATGAACAGGGCTGAGATGTGGTACTGAGCTGCTGATCTGATCAAATAGGTGTAGTTCAGATGACTTGAAAAATTAGATGATTGAAGCATCACTCATTAAGCCACAGCTTCACCATGAGGACTTTAGGGCAGCCACGGCTGTACGGAGTACCTTCACCAGCAATCTTTCAGCCTCTGACAAAACTAGGATCCTGAAGGTAATTGTGGGTGGTCTTCCTTGGTCTGATTTCTAGAAATTCGGTACATCACTTTCTAGTTATGCAGCTGATACTCGTGTTTGTATGAATGACTATTTAAAGAAGGAAAGATCAGATGTTTGTTGTTTCATTTCAACATAAATCAAACTTTGTATTCGCATAGCAATTCTAGTTTTGCCCCAGGAATAGCTTTAGTATTGCTAAGTGTCTGGAGAGTATTGACTACAGAGACATGGTTATAAGCAGGCTATAATAGTTTCTACTGCTGTTAACAGTTCGTAGAAGAAAGGCAGCATTATTCATCAGTGTTTAAAATGTGCATGACTTGCATTGCACAGAAGTCAGATTGGGAGAATGTCAGATTTTTTTTCTGAGATTCTGCCAGGAAAGTCTTCAATAACTGGAGAAATTCTTTTCACTGGTGAAATCAACATGCAGCACATTGTGTTATTATAATTGCTTATAGCTCACCATGAAAGTTGTCTTTGTATGTGTGGATGTACGGCTTGTACTGTTTTGTTTTTATTTATTCTGCATTCTCTATTATAATGTTCTTTCCTTTTTTCCAGACCAGAAAGATTGTTATTGAGCTTTCCACAAAGCTGAAATAATGCTGTGTGTTAAAAAAATGTTAACAATTTGAAGAAGTTATAAAAATTTATAAGTTGACTGAATACTTTGGAAATTTCTGCATATTTTAATATAAATAGGTAATGCAAATGTTTGTTCTTTGCATTTAAAGGTGGGTCTCTGTTTTCTAAAGGTCTTGTATATAAATTTGATTCTTACAATTACATTAGGACAAAACCAGTATTTTTTCAAATTGCATAATAGGAAAAATGTATCTGCAAAAGACACAGAACATACGTGGTTATCTCTGAATGTCACACAGTCATGAAATTTAACATAAAATAATATCAGTTGTTTAAATGACTTAATTAAGCGAAGTTAGGGGACTGCCTGCTGCAGTCAGCTGAGGTCCTTCCATTCAGTTTCTTAGATCCTGGGCTGGCACACAAAGGGAAAAACCATGCTGCATGTGGCTGAAGACTGGAGGAGGTGGAATTTGTATAGATATCCTGACGTTCCACGTTGCGCTGGTATAACTTGCATAAAAATTCATGTTCAGAAAATCGAAGAAATTGTGGAAGATGGAGGAGTTATTTCAGATGGATTTGGTGTAGTGATGAGTTCAAGCTTTATTCAAAACTGTAAAATAGAACAGGAAGATGCAAAAGAGAGAGAGGAGGAGTAGAAAGTGGTGAAAGGGAAGAGGTGAGTTTCAGATTACAGTGAGGTGAGCAAGGACCTAAATAATAACAATTTTAACAAAGATTAGTCCAAAATGTTAACAGTTGTGGTTCACTGGAGATGCTATCTGAGAGGAAAGATATCAGACTGCTTGTTGGTTTGGTTTTTTTTGCTTGGTTGGTTATTTTGTTTTTCACTTTCTTGGTTTGGTTTTTTTTTTGGTGGGTGGATGGTGAGGAGCAGTGTGAGTTTTGGGTGGTGTGCAAAGTAGAAGGGGTTTCTTCATTTTCCCTGAAGAAGAATGAATGTTTGATACTCTAATGCAGCTTCTCCTGAAATACCACAGCCGTTAGGAGTAGACGTAGGGAGCAGTAGTTTCAGTGGGGTGCCCTGGACTGCATGCTGTGTGCAGCTGGTGTGCTGCCCCTCCGCTGCTGGGAAACTCGGGGGCTGCTCTTTGAATGCAACTGCAGCACTGTATGTGGAGAGGTTGAGGGGCTGTCATAAAAAGAACACTCCTGCTCCAACTAACATAGAGGCACCCTGTGAAACCTGAGGACAGCAGTGGTGGCAGGGCAGGAAACGCTCAGAATCCACTAGTCTCTGTGTTACAGATGCTGGCAGAACATACAGCCCTAAAGAATACAGCAGGTGAAGAGAGAAGGGAGATGATCAGCTAGATGGATGCGTTTGAAAAAAGTAAAAAGATGCTGGGCCCTTAACATACATCTTAGAAGAGGAGTTGTGGGGCGGTTCTGTCCAATGAAACAGTGCTGTCCAGTGAGTAAGCTCACATGAGAAGGGACATAGGTAAGGTAAGCTCTGCAGTGTCTGCCTTCTCCTCAGGGTAAAGAAGTCCCCAGGGAAGTTGACACCTGTGTTGAGGCTACTGCAGTCCGGTATTTGAGGATGGATTCTGTCCTGACATTTTTGAAGGAGCTAGCGGTGCTGTGTAACATCAGCACCAATAAAAAGTGTGCAAAACTAATACAGAAGAGTCTCAGGTTTGGGATATGCTGTTTTTATAGGTCTTTCTCTCAAGACATCCCAATACATTCGTCGTGACTTGAAAAGCTTCCTTGGTCATTGTGACCAGTGCCATGAAATAACATTGCTGCTAGATGGTGATTTGCTGTGCTTGTAATTTTGAAAGACTGATTTCCAAATGGTATCATCGTGGTAAACGAATCCTTCTAAGCTTATACTCATGAAATTGAATTCAGTTCAGGAATCTGTTGATTCTTCAGTCTCTTGTGAGTAGTTTCCACTGTAATATTCTCTGGGATCATTCATTTTGAGTGCTAAAAATGACTGATTGGTAACGGGGAGTTATCAGAGACTCAGAGACTCATTTCCATGTTCCTTGTCAGTATGCCACTTCATACTGTGTTTATTCTCAGAGCCTGTCATATGAAAGTACAATTTTACAGAACAGAGACACAGAGAGAATTAATGATGTAAGTTTGTGTAAGGAAATATGTTGCAGAACTGATCTTGGGTTTTCTCGGCTTACGTCCTTTAGCCATTGTGCTGGTTCTCCTCCTGCTCTGCAGCAGTTACTTGCCTTTCTCACTGAGGCTCTTGGTCTTCCCATCTACCACAGTCAAGAAGACTGCCGCAGACACAGTGATCAGGTGAGCCTGAATGTGGCAGATTTTTAACAAGCGGCTGATGTACCTAAGTGTAACATGTTTATGTATGTCAGTACTTTGAAAACACTTTGTCAAGAGCTATTATCTTTGCTACAAGCAATTTAAGCATGCACAACAGTTTGGCTTTTGAACTATGAAAAAAATGATTTGCTAATAAGATCTTGGCTTATGAAAGACAATGAAATGCACGAGCACAACACAAACTTTTTACTAGATCTTGTCAGCAGTTATGAAGATAAATTTTAGCAGTGTTAGGATTTTCCAAGCCTCTTTCAAAATGACTGTGCAGCCTTGCTAAATTTGCTGGTTGTCGTATGCCTTTCTCCAAGAACAGTTGGCCTTCATTGCTTCTGAGCAATATTTCCTTGGAAGCTCTAAGAAAACAAAAGACAACCCAGGGAAATCAGAACAGATCTCTACTTAGAAACCAGCCACGTTCAATCTGTAGAGTATGTAGAATTCTATAGAATTCTTTTTTTTTTTTTTTTTCCTGGGGAAAGGCGTAAGAGGGCAATAGGTGCAGGCTGGGGAGGAAAGAAGCAGTGCCATGACCCTGCAGCATTTCTACATGTTGAGTCACAGAGTGACATTTGAACAATTCTCACTGTACCCAGTATGAAAAACTTTGATGCTGGTCATACTGCTGGCTGTTCTTGAAGAAAGGTTAGGAGAAAAAAAATCAAGGCACCAAATCCATAGGTAGCCTTTCACATGTTTCAAATGTCAAGGAGTCTTACCAGAAAAACCTCAAGCCAAGTGATTATTTAGTGCCTTCTTCTTGGCTTCAAACTTCCCATCTTTAGAGCTGGTGGTTTCCAAAACCACAGTTATTCAGTTCAGCGTGTTCTTTTAACCAAATATCAGTTTGTTTCCTGATTTTGTTTTTCTGAAATATTTTACATTCTGCAGGGCAGAAAGGCCTCCCTAGTACGTGGTGGAGCAAGGAGAGCTGTGCTCTTTTTGTGGGTTAGTTCTCTCAAAGAAGAGTTCTCCATGCTTCTGAAGACGTTGCAACTGAAGTAATTAAAAAGAATCATTGAATTTTGAGTGAAACTAAGACAGAATCCTTATGTGCTTTTGGTTGATGCTATGTGTTCATGTGTAATTCCCTTTGAAGTTTAATGAGAGAGCTGGAGAGAGCTGGGTTTTTTGTTTTGTAAGAAATATGCTCTGCTTGAAATGTTGTGGGGTTTAATCAGTGTCTTATTACATAGGAAGCTCATACATATTTGTTTAATTGCTAGATAAGTGGATTGGTACTGACGATGATTTTAGAGGATAATAGGTTGTTAAATTAATGTGAAGAGCCTTGTTCTTTTGCTTTGTTGGATGTTTTTTGATGGCTGAGTTTCCTGGGGTGCCCTTTTTAGGGCCTATGCTGGTGGTTATCCCTGTTATTGTGTAGGTATTAGGTTCAGTAAGGATCTAGAGTAGCTTGCTCTGTGATTTTAAATATCGAGAGAGAGATGCCAGGCAGAAAATCCATAGCCTTGGAAAAAGCTACACACTAATGAAATTGCACACTGAAAATTTCAGAAGTTAATACATTTATCTAGATACATTATCCCAAGTGGTACATCATACAGGTAAATAAAATACTTCTATAATAGATCTGAGACCTGTGGAAACTCAGCATTATACCATTGGTCCCTGCATCCTTTTGCTGTTCAGTGGACAGGAAGATAAGTGTGTGCAGGTTTATTTCAGAGGCTCCTCTGCACTTTGACTCCTGTTGTCCACTTTGTGTTTTCACTTTGCTCTCCCTTATCTCCATAATTTTTTCCCTGTGCTCCAGTAATGCACTGTGTACCTCTGATTCTGCGGGTTGCCTTAGGCTATGGTCTGATGTAAGCTAGTTGTGTGAGGGTATCCTTTTCAAGTATCTCTGCTTTTCAAATGGTACAGGTCATTCAAAATTGCAGAACATAGATGTGTGAGTATGCTAACAACGTTGCTGTCAATTAACAGATGTTCTGATCACAAGGTGACTGAGAACTGCAAAGTGTCTGAACTAAGGCTGTCTTTTCAGTGGAACTTCAGCCTTGTTTTGTAGATGTGCTGAGACAAGGTTTCGTTACATAATCATGTAGGATTTCTTTTAACCTTCCAGTACTGTTTGTGAGTGGAGAGATGGATAGGGAGCTGGTGCAGCCATTGCTGCTTGAATTGTGATTTGATGTGTGGCTTTGTATCCAGTTGCACATGGCACTGCACACTGTGTCAACCTGGCCTTGGATTAAATTAAGCTTAGTCATAGTGCACATATTGCGTGTGGTGCCTGTAGGGAAGCAGGTAAACATCCTTGCTGCTTGGTTTTGAAATCATTGCTGATAGATTGCATTGCTGAAGTCAGTGATACAAGATCAAATTAACATCCATAATTACCTGTGAAACCTCAGAATTTCACGTTTCAGAATGTGAAATGCAGCTAGTTAGCTTTCCACACTTTGTTTTCCAATATGTCTGGTCCAGTTTGAATGCCTTGTCCCGGAGTGGGGAGCAAGTGCTGTACCACATGTGGATGAAGTTAATCAGTTTGCAAGTATAAATTTCCCATAAATTCCCATAAATTTCCCATAAAATCCTTTGAGTCCTCATAATATTCGCAAGATGCTGTAAAATGTTTTGTTGCAAAGTGAGTATCTGTTTGTTCTCAGTAAGAAACATGGAAGTTTTTTTGTTCATGCTTTGTTATTTGCAAGTTATATGATATCATATGCTTTGTTCTTCTGAAAAAAAAAAAAAACAAACCAGAAACAAAAAGAAACTGTTCAGCAACAAGATATTGTTCTTACAACTTTGACAGTTTGCATGGAAACTACTTGCTTCCTGTAGACAGCTCCTGAGAGACTTGCCGTTATGTTAGGCAAAATGAATGATTTAATTATTTTCATGAAACTTGAACCTTCAGCATATTCCTCCTCCCTCTGAATGTCAGGCCTTATGTAGTCTTGATTTTCTTCCTGTGCAGGTTGCGATGAAAAAGAAATTATTTCAGTTAAGTGAATAATTCACACACAGTAATTTGTTTAAACTTTCTTGTTTGCATCACGTTGATGATACAATTGCTGGGATTTATATACCTTTGATAATTTCTGTAACTTTTTTTTTTAACTCTGTGTATCAATGCTTAACAGCGTTTTGTGAGCCATTGTTAATCACACTGGTGGCTTGATGGGGTTTGGCTGTTCTTGGTGGCAGAGACTTGGTGCCAAAGCTCAAACACTTCCAAATAAATGCTCCTGAGATAATGTAAGCTTCACTTTCCTTGAAGGCTGCTCTGTGAAGCTCAGATGCTGGCTTTAAGTACTTTCACTGGTAGAATTTAGTTACATAAGTGTTTGTGAGTTGTACAACAAAAAGGGGCACACAGAATGCTTGAGGTAATGGAATGCAGGAAGCGGTCTGCAGCATAGACTTTAGCTCTCATGCTGTGTTGAGCTCTTTCTGTTCTTAGAGATGCACAATATGCAGAATGTTCATATGCATCTGAGATGAAACTTACACAAGTGCTGGAAGAGTCACTGGTGTGCAGTCCGCATCTCTCAGATCCCTTTCCAGTCTTGCACCTGCTAGCAAGTGCTTTCTGCTCTTTAGACTGCTGTTATCGGCTGGAGCAGATAAGGACAGTGCAGGGCACTGTAGTGTATGTGATAGCTGTTCACTGTGACTAGTTCCTTCTGCTCACACCAAAAGATGGCTTATACATTTTTGCTTCCTTCATCAATCTTGTGGCTCAGACTAGTAAGCATTGATTGAATTTCTTCTTCATGCTTTGCAAAGTCAGAGATGGCATTGAAGAGGAAGTGTCCCATACTGTTCTTGAGAAATCTGGTGTTTGTATTAGGTGACAGAGCATGTTACTAAGTAGACTTCTTGAAAAGGATCCATGAGGACGTAGTACTGTCACTGTGTGTTAGAGTGCTACAGCCACAGGCAGGGACTCAGTTGATACTGGTGACTACCTGGTACAGTGAGTACCTGAGCCAGCACGTCAGAACAGTACAGACAGCTGCTAAAGCAGTACGGGCTCCTAGAGGCAGTAAAGATTAGCCAAGGCGTAAATGCTTTGCTGTATTATGCCCTCACTGCAAGTCCTGGGGAAATGGCACAGGCTTGATGAAGAAGTTGTGGCCCTACTAAATGCATCCTCTTCATCCTTCTGAAGGCCTCAGGCATCCCATCCAGCAGCATGTAGAAATATCTTTCAGCCAATACAGTGTGAGCAATCTTGCACACCTTCGTGGCATTTGCCTGCATAGCTTTAACCTTGTGTTTCTGAAGGAGGCTTCAAATGGCATCTGGTAGCCCAAGGATTCAGTGCCTTCCCATCTTTTGGAAACAGATGTGGTGTGAATGGGCAGGACATGGTTAGGTTTGTTCAGGGGCAAATAACTGATAGGAGACACCTTTGTACCAGAACTATTTTACCATCCCTTGTGAAAGTCAGGGCAAAGTAGGTAAGGAGGATGTGGACCTCTAGATATAAAATGGGGAAGGGAAGAGCCAGGCACCGAGGCATGGAAGTCTGGATTGAAGCTGGGATAGGGCACAGGGTTTGCAGATAGAGTCTTGGAGGGATGCTGAGAGAGATGGTGGAAGTGGGATTTGGGAGAGAAGGAAGGAGGGTACCATGTACTTGCAGGACTATGGTGTATGTTATCTGGTACTCACTTGCACCTGCATTTGAGAGATTCCTGTGTGGGTCTGGAATTTTGGAAATATCTGTTTATTCTGTCTGCCTCCATGATTAGAAGGCCAATTTAAGGCTTTTATCTACTTGGGGAAATCCCTGCAAAGTAGGCTAGGTTTTGAATTTACAGCCTACTTAGAGACCCAACAGTATACACAGTGTAAATTCACACTTCAGCTTACTTCACAGGAACTCCCCCGCAGAAACAAACCCTCAGAGTCACCTCTGTACCTCAGTCTGATGCTAAAAGTGAGCGGAATCTTCTCAAAATGTGGGCCTCCAATTCCAT